TATTAAGTGATTTCATTTATTATATTTACTGGATAATAAGAACTGGGAGTGTATGGAGGTATTATTGTGTTTTGAAATGCTCTGTATATCAGTGTTCTTTCTCAATCATACCCTTTTTGGAACATCTACATAAGTTTTTTCTTTGTGAGCAATGGAATCTGTATGCTGTTGGCTTAATGCAATTATCATTGCATTAAGCCAACAGCATACAGATTCCATTGCTCACAAAGAAAAAACTTATGTAGAAGTTTTATCCTTTTACGTACTAGGAACAAAGTGGCCTTTATAGAGAAAGAGAATCAGTTGCAGTATTCATATGTTTTATCTCTCATAGTATCTTACAGTATGGGAATGCTTTACTAAGTTCAGTTCATGTGATGTGTTTATGTCTCTGAACCTTCACAAATATTAAACTCCCTCTGTGGAACACTAAGGCTGAGGTTTCTATCATGGCACTATTTTGATGTGTTTTGCTCTACTAAATGTAAATTATATGCCCTGATAACTAGTATTAATCAATATTGAAGTCCGGCCCCTGCAATAGTAATTTGAACCATTCTGGTGGTCAAGAATGATTGCGATAAAAAAATGTAGTACAACTGAAATTCAAAATAACATTCCTGGTCATTGTTTACTAAACCGGTTATGTCTACATGTCACACTAAACTGTAACTTATCCAGATTTGGAGACTAAGTGCTCAACTTTCCACTCAACCACTTTCACATGATAGAGAGAAGAAATTCAAATGGATTTCCTTCTGTTTGCATGTCTTTCAGATTTAGGCAACTGTGGTCAATCTCAATATTGTGAGTTTTGAACAAGTCAGCTATAAACCATGGTTTAGAAAGCTGATTTGTTTAAATTTATCTCTATTAAACCATCATCGGCTTCATTCAGATGACATAGCAAACTATGATTAATTGGAAGCATATTGGTATATCAAAGGAACAGAGGATGAGATGTACAAGACTGAATTCAGGTCTTGCTGAACCATACTAATGTCCTACTCAAATGCAGTAGTTGATATCACTTCTTAATATAACATATTCAAAGGTCTTTTGCCATTGTTGCTCACAAAAGCCACATGAGGAAGAATGTTTTGATTTTGCAAATACAAAGATTAACCCCAAGAAACAATAGTGTGTCCAAAAGCAAGAGGATTATATGCAGTCAGTAAGACTGGAATGTGACTGAAACAACAACCTAATTTGCTTACAGAGTAGAAGAAGAGCCTGTGACAGAAATGAAAACAATTGTAAGAGTCTGGAAGTAGGGCTTTGACTCCAAGTGTCTTGCAATTTTCTAGTTTTCATCATATCTCTCAATAGGGGCCAAAAACCTGGTGAGATTGGAGTAAGCATCTCCAATACAGACTCTTTCAGGGTGATCCTTGGAACAGATTTGTCTCCCAAATGCAGCTTGAGTTAGATCACTGTTTCTCAAACTGCGCTCCTCTGGGTGTTTTGGACTTCAGCTCCCAGAAATTCCAGCCAGTTTACCAGCTGTTAGGAATTGTGGGAGCTGAGATCCACAACATCTGGAGGAGCACAGTTTGAGGATCTCTGAGGTAGAGCATTTGGCACAAAGCACTAATGTCAGCCACAGTTTGTAATTCATCATGTGGGACAAGGATGCCAAGTCCATGTACAATGTAAAAACATGGTATTTTCAAAATTGTGCTTCCTTAGAAATCTGCTTTAAGGAAATTTAAGGATAAAGGGGAAAGTTATGTTCTCCAACAGAAAAGAGTGAAGCTTGCCAGCACCTTTCACCTCAACTCACTTCCTATACTCAAGGACTTAATGGACAGGAGGCACAGAGACAGATAAACACACTGTGAATCAGCACTTCAGTTACATTCCTTTGCATACTTGGAAGTAAGTTCTGTTTTACCTAATGGAACATTTTCTAAGAAATGCAAATTAAAATGTTTGGTATGGTCATTATACAATGCCTTCTACTGCCAACTCCTCATGGAAGATGTCTTCAAGTCTTTAATAGAGATCATGAACGAGACTGGTACAGAAAGCTAAGAGCTAGAAATTATCCTAAAATGTTTATCAGTGTTTCTGAACACACAATATTTGGCAATCTTCTAATTTTCCAAATGTTGTAAAAGATTCCTCAAAATAATTTAAGTGTTGCCAGATAGGCACATTAATGCAGTAAGTGTGGAAGGGAGGAAGAGAGAGAGAGAGAGAAGAATGACTGGTGAAGCCATTGGAAAACTTTGCTGAGAAAAGTTAGTGTCCAAATCCTGGCAGAAACTGTAGCATTTGTTGGAATATAAATGAATATTAATGAACAGTTCCCACAAGGGTAACTAACTAATTCACAACATACAAAAAAGAGACAAACTTTCCTAGCTTTAACTATGGAAATCTTCCAGTCGAGTAAAGTATATCGAAATTGTTAAAGTTTACTTTTCTTTCATCTTCCATCAAACTTCAGGGTGGTGAAGGACATTAGAAATATAATTTATGTGGGTGGTTCTTGTTTCCAGTTTTTGGCGAATGCAAAAAAATAATCAGAGCCTGGACAAGGTATGGGACATTATGGTCATGGATAGACATACCTTTTTAATGAAAAAATGCAATGGAAGACCTATTAAGACAACCAATTGGCAGTTATTTAGGGACTATATGAACAAGGAGAATTCAGAAGACAAATGTTTGAGATCATTAGAAGATGACTAGAAAATTGTGATCATGTCATATGGTATGAAAAGAGAAAAGACTTTGGAATTAATGTAAGACTTTAATAGGACACATATAAACCAAGGAAGAAGACTGGAAGACCCGAGAAAGACCCTAGTCATCCACCCCTCCTTTTTTTCTTCCTTTTCTTTTTTATGTGTTGCTCTGCTAGTTCGTCCCTTAGTTCCCTAACTTTTTCCTGATATTTTTCCCGGGGATTTCCATCCCCTTTTACCCACCCCATGCCCGCTTCCTTGAGATCTTTCCTAACTCTATCTGAACCCAGCTCTTGCTACTGCTTTTAATAATATGTCCCTCCCCGCCAACCCCGAAAAGATTATTTAAAAGAAAAAAGGAAATTTAATTGATGCATATGTAGAATTCTAAAGGAAACCTGAACTAAGTGAGTGAGAGAAAATAGCACAATAGTGCTGTACTTTCATCATTCATCTGTTCAACAGCTTTTCCTACAGTACACTTACCACGATGTGTTTTCATATTGTATTGGCCAAATATCCAGATTGTTATCTTTAATTAACCAAACTCCATAAGGTAGAGAGCCTGATTGTCAAACAACCTGCAGAGGAGAATCACCCTGGTGTGGCTAGTGGCTCAGGCCATTCACTGAATAGGAAAGAATTTATTAAGAATCTATTGACATAACAATTGAAGAGCCAATGCTAACAGGATTTTTTATCAGTCAGACTGAGACAGAATCAAAAGCATTTTGTGAAATTGCTGTATTTTCATGTTACTGTGGGAGTACTTTCAACTATTGTGCCTAGTTGAATATATTCTGAACGGAAAATGAAGCTGTGACTGCAAAAAAGAAATCGGATAAGTAAAAGAAGTCAAATAAGATAGGTCAAATGTAATTAAAGCCAGGATGGAAAGAGAGATAATGGAACTATTCTTAGCATTGCTGATGACATGAGATGAGACAGGAAGCTATGCAAAGATATCCTATCCTTTGACAGCAGTGCTAATTGCATTGTGTACTCAGGATGCAACTAGCGTTTTAACTGCTACGTGAGGCCCCTTCTACACTGCCATATAATCCAGATTATCAAAGCAGATAATCCACATTATCTGCTTTGAACTAGATTATATGAGTCTACACTGCAATATAATCAAATTCAAAGCAGATAATCTGGATTTTATATGGCAGTGTAGAAGAGGCCTGAGTTCTTATGAAATCACCCAAGAGAAATCACTCAATAGTCTGGAGCCATCTATATAGACTGTGCATTGAGTCATGTTTATTTCTTCTTCGTGCCCTAAATAAACATCCAATATTGGTAGCCTTGCAAAGACACATAGTAATTGCCATAAACAGAAACTTTCAATTTTTGGAGTACAAATGAGATGGCATTCTTTTTTTTTTATTGGAGTGCCAAAGGTTCTGGTGCCATTTCTAGTCAAAACATGGAAGATCTGTGATGTTATTCTTGGCCCCAAGTATTGCATTGCACTTCAAAAAAAAAGTATTGTTTGCTGTGTAATTTTCAAAGTTAGTAGAATCAGGGCTGGTCAGTACTTGGTAGACAACTGCTGGGAAATATCTGTATTCAGATATAATTGATTTAAGGATGCAAACCAAGTTGCCTAGAAGCAAGCCCTGTTAATGAAAAGCATAATTTTGTTCAAGTGTTGCACTATGATTCTGGTGCAACGCAGTTAAAATCTCCACTCAGCCATAGAAATCCACTAGTGACCAGTGGCAAATCACTCTTCCTCAGAGATGAAGGCAATGGCAATCTTCTGGCATCATAGCACAGATGTGATTGGGAAACTTTTCACATTTCAAATGGTAAAGTACAGCTATGGATGAAAGCAACTTACGCTCAAATAATAATAAGTTAATGCACAGTGATTTAAAAAGCTCACAAGTTAATTAGCATGATCAATGTGTGATATCCTTGGTGGTTCCCCAAAATAGCTTTTCAAAAGGATCAGTAAGAGGGCAAATCACTAATCAATATTAGTCAGATGGGACAGTCTGGAATTACGCATGCAGACGGCTAACAGACACTGTTCATTTTATTCATGTACCTTATGATGCAACTATAGTATCCAGAAATTGCACAGTGAGGAGTCAATTTGCTACCTTGAACACAATTAAACTATACAGTTGTTGTGTTCAAGCTCTATAAAAGGTTTTCAATGGGCAAATATTTTGGCTTGAAGCAAAAAAAAAACAACAAAGATTTTCATAAAATGTAAAATCTTTTTGGGAAGCAAATATATCAAGTACTAGCTGTACCTGCCACGCGTTGCTGTGGCCAACCTTCCCCCTATCTCCCCTTCTTTCCCTCCTTCCTTCACTCCCTGTTTCCTTCCTTCCTTCCCGTCTTTCCTTCTCTCCTTCCTTCCTTCTCTATCGCTTTCCTTCCTTCCCTTTTTCTTTCTCTTCTGCTGTGTCTCTTTTCTTCCTTCTCTCTTTCCTCCTTTCTTTCCCTCCCTCTTTCTCTACATTTTATCCCCTTCCTTCGCTCCCTCTTTCCTTCCTTCTTCCTTTTTCTCTTCTGCAGTCTCTCTTTTCTTCCTTCTCTCTTTCCATCTTTCCTTCCCTCCCTCTTTCTCTACATCTTCCCCCTTCCTTCGCTCCTTCTTTCCTTCCTTCTTTCCCTTTTTTCTTTCCTTCTCTCCTTCCTTCTTTCTCTAACTTTCCTTCCTCCCCCTTTTTCTTTCCCTCCCTCTTTCTCTCCTTTCTTCCTTTTCTACCTCATTCCTTCTTTCTTTCCCTCCCTCTTTCTCTCCTTTCTTCCTTTTCTACCTCATTCCTTCCTTCTTTCTTTCCCTCCCTCTTTCTCTCCTGTCAGGGGTGATTTGAATGCAATATTCCTGCTTCTTGGCAGAATGGGGTTGGACTGGATGGCCATGAGGTCTCTTCCAACTCTTTGATTCTATGATTCTATGATTCTTCCTTGACAGATTAGAAGGGGGCGTGCTTGGAGGTAACGTGAGGAGGGAGGAGGGGAGGGGGGATGGGTTTAGAAGGGGGCGTGGCTTGGGGGTAACGTGAGGAGGGGGAGGGAGGGGGGGTGGGGTTAGAGGGGCGTGGTGGGGGGGGGGTAAGTGAGGAGGGGATGGGTTTAGAAGGGGGCGTGGCTTGGAGGTAACGTGAGGAGGGAGGAGGGGAGGGGGATGGGTTTAGAAGGGGCGTGGCTTGGGGGTAACGTGAGGAGGGGAGGGGGGATGGGTTTAGAAGGGGGCGTGACTTGGAGGTAACGTGAGGAGGGTAAGAGGGAGGAGGGGAGGGGGGATGGGGGCGCGCGCGCGCGTGTGTGCCGCGCGGGGGGGAGAGGGGGCGCACACGCGCGCGTGTGTGCCGCGCCAGGGGAGTGAGGGGGCGCGCGGGCGCGCGTGCGTGTGCCGCACCGGAGGGGGGAGAGGGGGCGCGCGCGCGCGCGTGCCGGCCGCGCCGGGGGGGTTGGGGGTGCGCGTGCGTGTGTGTGCCGCGCCGGGGGGGGAGAGGGGGCACGTGTGTGTGTGTGTGCCGCGCCGGGGGGGAGGGGCCGTGCGCGCGCGTGTGTGTGCCGCGCCGGGGGGGTAGGGTGAGGGGCCATGTGTATGCGCGCGCCAGGGAGTTTGCGCCAGTACGCATGCTCAGTTGCTTTGCCGTTTATTGTGGTTGTTGTTGTGTGTTTTTGATTTCTGACTGGATTAGTTTGTACCTTGTTGGTTGCCCTTGGGGCATGGGAAGTTTGGTGGAGTTTCGTTGGGGGGTTTTAGAGTTTTGTTTCCTCATACGACGCCAGGAGGAAATGTATATATATAGACTAGGAAAGTGGAAGAGATCTTGTGTATTTCGGAAAGCTGATGTAAGACTTGTAAGATCCATATTCTCCACCTCGAAGCTTAACTATCGACCACAGACAAACAAATTAAAGAATTTGAGCCCCTAAATTTGCTTTGAAACCACAACTAAGATTAATAGTCCTTGCACATAATAATCCATTCCTCCCTCTGCAAAAAATCCTTGCTTGTCTAAAATCACCTCAAATCTGTTTATAGATTCCAGTTCTGCTTCTGACCACCCTGACATACACAAAGTAAAGCAAAGTAAGTTGTTTATAAATTTCCATTGCAAACCATTGACTTACCTACTTCGATTGGCTCTTGTTTTATCTGTGGGAACTCTATAACTTCTGGAGCATCATTGATGGAATCACCGTCTTCAGGAATCACTGTGTAAATTTAAAACAGCATTTAGATTAAACACACACAGAGAGAGACAGAGAGGGTCAATTACACTTTTAAAAAACAATGTTTGTAGTTGTGTGCCTCTTAAGTCATTTCCGAATTATGTTGACCCTAAGGTGACCCTATCACAGAGTTTTCTGGGGTTGAGAGAATGTGACCCAAGGTTATCCAGTAGGTTTCCATGGCTGAGCAGAGTGTTGTAGTTCAACCAGTAAACCATTACACCATATTGCCTCTCATTATCAATGGTTAATATTTCTCCTGAAGAATGCTGGCTACTATAGCTAGAGCATAATATAACCAAGTTACCTCAAAAGATGTTGTAGTCTTTTGCAGCAACAAAGAAATATTGCTGAGCTTTGAGTTAAGAAGTGTATATCCTGCACCCAAGATTTTTGACTAAGTTGTTTTCAGACTAACCATTAAATTCTAGTCCTGTTTTGTCTGTCTGTCAGTCCACTTGTGTCCTGCCTTTGTTGTCAAAAGAAGAACTTGAAAGGAGCTTGCAAAATGAGAGCTATAGTATAGCAAAAGTATTGCTTTGATTTATGCTGCCTTTGTCCTAGAAGAATCTGCAAGAGTTTAGCAAGGGCACAGTAATACACATCCAACTATTCCATTTCCTATAGTGACTGCTTTAGACAATAAGTTTGGATCATTCTATAAAGGCAGCAAATTTCCATTTACTTAGTTTGTCATTTTTCTATCTCTGGTACCAAGATAACCTGGCTGACCTCTCTGCTGTAGCTACCTTAAATTTGATAGGAAAAAGCAGTTGCTGCCCTATTTAAGGGAGAAAATTGTCTTGGACCTGCTGTGCAGCAATATGCCATTTCATTTTACACACTTTTGAAGCTGATTTGAACTTTGCTACATGGCTGCAATAGGGATGAGCTTTTAAACAAGTAAACATTGAATAAGACATTGCAGCAGACATTTAGGGCTGAGAATATTAACCAGTGGCATTTAAATGATCAGAAAGATCATATAGTCTAGGCCAGGGGTCCTCAAACTTTTTAAACAGAGGGCCAGTTCACAGTCCCTCAAACTGTTGGACGGCTGAATTATAATTTGGAAAAAAATGAATGAATTCCTATGCACACGGCACATATCTTATTTGTAGTGCAAAAAAAACACTTTAAAACAATACAATAATTAAAATGAATAACAATTTTAACAAATATCAACTTATTAGTATTTCAATGGGAAATGTGGGCTTTTGGCTGATGAGGTAGGATTGTTGTTGTGTGCTTTCAAGTCATTTCAGACTTAGGTTGACCCTGAGCAAGGGCCGGGTAAATGACCTTGGAGGAACGTATCCGGCTCCCAGGCCTTAGTTTGAGGACCCCTGCTTTAGCTATACTATAGCTCTCATTTTGCAAGCTCCTTTCAAATTCTTGTTTTGACAACAAAGGCAGGATAGTTCAATCGACAGTTCAATAAATGGTAATGTTATGTAGTAATTACTGTAGTTACGAATTTAGCACCAAAACATTGAAATGTATTGAAACAGCTGTGGATCCAGACGGGAGGCAGACTGCGTTGGATAATACAGAACTGGATGAGTGAAGGTTGGATAAGTGAGACTCTACTGTACTATGGAGCAGCTCAAAAGACAACATGATGTAGCAGTTTAAGTGTTTTACTAGGACACTAGAGAGTGAGTTGCTGTGAGTTTTCTGGGCGGTATGGCCATGTTCCAGAAGCATTGCGTTTTGACGTTTTGTAGAGAGTGTTCGAATCCCCACTCAAGACATGAATATTGTGGGTACACCACACACTCTCATCCTCAAAGGAAGCTAAAGGCAAACCTACTTTGAACAAATCTTGCATACAGAAAAACCAACAACAACCAAGGCACATTCGCCTTAAGATTGATATACGTCGGAAATGACTTGAAGGCACACAACAAGAAGAAACAATGGTTCTGTTCCTAGGCTCAAGACAGTGTTACTCATAGAATGGCATTCATTTTTTTACAGATTGAACTACTATACCATCTCTTTCAGTTCTGGTGAAGACATATGTTAGAGTTGGAGAAATTTAAAGCCTATGGGTTCAAGTTTGCCCTCTGGAGTTTCCTAGGTGGCTATGGCCCATTTCCCATGATGGCATTCTTTGGTTGTTTCCCAGCTTTTGGATAGGATAACAATATCCCTGCAATATTCTCAAGAGGTGTAAATGAGTCTCAGATTTTAGTTACAAACAATGAGAACTGTCATTGTTTTGATCCTGATCCTATCACTTTGGGCTTGGCACCATGAATTGCAGGAATGCAGCCCTGATAACATCATTCAAATTTGACCCTGGAGCTGAATGAGGTACCCACCTCCCTCTTTGGCTTTTACACTGAATTTATTGAGAAACTCCCAGTATTCTGGCTATCAATGTGGAGTAGTGGTTTCAGCATTGGACTACAATTTCAGATTAGGGTTAGACCCCTCTCTCTTTCAGTCATGAAACCCATTGGGTGACCTTGGGCAAGTCACATTTTTTTGGCCTCCGAGGCAATCGCAAAACAGAATTAATGTATTCTGAGCAAAGTTTGCCAATAAAACCCTATGATACATTTACCTTGAGTTTATAGATCAGAAACAACTCAAGGTTTGGAGATCTCCACCACAAAATACACACAGTCCCTTGCTTATTGTGGGTCCATATTCATATTTTTTGGTTAACGTGCAGGACAGTAAGAATTGTAAATGGAGTGAGGTAACTGAAAAAAGTGTAATTATACTTAATGCCGAATATTTGCCTTTTTGTGTGCTGCTGTCTTTGAATTCTCTAAAAAGGGGAGGAGTATTGACCTTTAATATAATTGGTTTCTTGCTGTTTGGTGATGGCCTCCTTGTGACGGGATGTGACCATGCAAGGCTTCAATTACAGCCACAGAGATTGACCCAACAAAGAGGTCAATGTTCAAGGTTGTGCAGAAGGGTCAGTGACTGCATTTACCTAACTCCTAACCATGTTAGATAATACTGATAACAAACATTGGGCAAGACAGTGTTATTGGTCTTTGTGGTTTCTTATATTCACACACCCGATTTGCCTTTATTAATCGGTTATTGCTGAATCATTTATTCAAAGGGTACTGTGGTAGAAATAGTGCAGTCTGACACCACTTTGACTCAATGCTATAGAATAATGGGAGATATTGTTTTACAAAGTTTTTAACCTTCTCTGCAAAAAGAGTGCTGGTGTCTCACTAAATTCCAAGTCTCACAATTTCATCATATTGGACCATAGCAGCTAAAGTGATGTCAAATGCATTAATTCTGCAGTGTAGATGTACTGAAAGACAGTATTAGATTTGTTTATTATCTGAGAGAATGGGTGCTTCTGTTGTTTCTAAAATTCCAGTCACATGTTGCTTTCCGTTTTATATAACTGGCTATAACTTGCAAAGAGGGAATAATTTGGCACCCTCTACTGGCAAAAAACTGGTGCTAGCATCAAATTGTTTGAACTGAAACATGTAGTAAAGTTTTTTGGAATGTTGTTCTGTTTGTAGGATAACTTAATATGTAATAGAATTAGCAAATAGAACTGGAGGTCATTTTGCCCACTGGATTTATGTTTCATAAATAAAAAGTGATGTAATCTGTGCTCTATGCAAACTAGATTTCATTGTTTTGGAGTAGAAAATAAATCATAGGCCTGATATCAATATCATCTATATTTCCTATCCTACAGCCTCAAAAT